TTAGTTTTTTCTTTTTAACTAGATGAATTTCATATAATCCGTAGCTTTGAAGAGTTTAACTCTTACTTTGCTAATGGATATAAATTACCCTGCGACTGAATCCCAAGGGAGGGATGCATGGGCTATCGACAACCGTACCTTGAAATTATCATTTCTAGTTATTATGGATATGCGAACAGAATGACCGTTCAAATCTCACACTTTATCTTCAAGTTAGTACTTAAATAAAGTTAATTAAAAGTTCGAACTTCGTCAACTACTTAAATATATATATTAGACTTATGAATTATTGGTATTTCTTCCAACCCATAGTTAATAAGGTTAATGACGCCAAGAGTATCAATGGAATTAAAATATTATGTAATTTCTCTTGTTTTCTTTATGATTAATGAATAAATTAAAGAATATGTGTTATAATTATGGTTCAATTTATTTTGGGATATTTGAATGTCCAAACCAAAAATTATTACCACTAGAATCTCGCAATTCAATTATTTATATGAATCTAAAATTAAGCCACATCCAAATCTTAATGTCAAAATTTCACACCTTCAAGCAATATAACAAAGGGATTTAACATTTTCTGACAACAATCCAAGTTTCAGATTAAGATGTGATAAATTAAGTTGAGATACATATCAAATCAAAATTTTATGCAATTTAGAAACATAAAGAGCAATATAGAAATTGAATCAGTAATCTGTTGTCAATAAAAATTGAAATTGAGCCAACGACCTAAATAACTCAGTGGTTATTTTCTTTTATTGAAAATATGAGGTTCAAGTCGCATAACATGTGGGTAGAATGAGATAAGGGATGAGAGATAATTGTCTTACGAAATTAAACGGAGGGACAGGGTAAAAGAAGAAGAGAACTTCGATGGGAGACATTCGTAGGTTTGTTTAGCGTCAGATTTAGAGGCAAGCGGAATGAGGCCGAGCACGGCGGACTGGGTGGTAAAATTTGTCCGGAATCTCTTCTTAATGGGAATATATAAGAAAATTCTTCAATGAATCTCTACCATCAATGGGAACTCAACACATCATAAGTTTCAGGTTTTACTTAATTTGCTGAAATATATAAAGTTTCAGGTTTTACTTCATGAATTTACCATGAAAATTGCCAATTTCATGTCATAAGTTCCATATTTATGTGTCTTTAATTTTGTTAAAATCTTAACCTCCCATTAATCATGGATACCACACAGCTGGGATTTCTCAAAATGGTGAACATTCCACCCCCTCATATGAGGCGCGCGGCCATTAAGTCACAAGTTGGTGGAGTTCACGACGGTAGCAGAACTCGAAACCCTGACCTCCGCCTCACCCAAACCCTAAGACTTGGGACCAACCATTGGACCACAGGCCCGGTTGGTCATGGATACCACTTAAAGAAGCTATGATATGATGTAACGGTTGCATTGAAGACTTTCTTCATATAATGAGTACTGAGTATGGGGAAGAAGTTTTACTTTTACACCACACTTTCTCCAGAAGATTATTACCAAAAAAAAAAAAAAAAAGAATGATGGTTTTAATGGTTGACTTTGACTAATTGAAATTCAAGTCAGTTAGTGCACAAGGGATTTATTTTCCAAGGTGGTAATCATTACTGTTGAATTTCCCTGCATAAAATGATTCTGAAAACCCCACAAATCTTAAACCATAAACATGCTATCCTTTCAAAGTCCAAACTTTGTAAGAAAGAATGGCTGCAACAAAAGAAGTCAGCATCTTGTCTCTTGTCCTCCTGTTTGGTATGTTTCATGGTTACTCTCTCATGCTTTCATTTCCTTAATTATATGTAAGAGATTTTTTTTTTTTTTTGGTTGGTTCTTGCTTCCTTTTCTCGAGCTTAAAAATTCAAGGTTCTTTTGAATTCAAGTACTTTGCCATAAGATCATTTTTTTCGAATGAATTGAGTTCTGTACCTTAATGAGCAGCTGCAGTTCTTACCCCAGCAAATGTTCAAGTCAAGGCTTGCCCTCTCTACTGTCTCGATGTTGAATATATGACCTGCAATTCATCAGGTGAGAAAAGGCTTAATCCAGCATGCAACTGCTGCTTGGCTCCAAAAAACTGCACTCTTCACCTTGCCGATGGAACTTCAATGAACTGCAAGTGAATCAGGAGGGAAGGACAACCTCCAAGCCCTGTAACTTAGAATCATCATCTGTAATAATGAGATTTGCAAGTCAGAATATATAAATAAATAAATGAGACAAAGTTTATGATTCATTCAGATTTGGAACAAAAAAGATAGTGTAATTTCTCTGATCAGTGAAAGAAAAATCCAAAAAATGAACTTTATTTCAGGTACAAAGGAGAAGGATATCGGTTTTAAATTATTTCATCAGAAAGATAAAAGAAAATTATCACATTAGTTACAGATCGACTTACAGACCATCCCCCCAATTGATGGTTAATTTAATCCAAATGTTTTATGTTCCAACAGATCAACATACAAAAGATACAAGAATGATGTGCTTTATCTATTACATCCAACTGCTCTTTGCCTTCGCTACTCTCATTCTCTCCTAGTTTTGTCTACCATTACTTAGTGGATACAAGAGCTAAAGTAGTGGGCGTTGAGATATTGCAAACTGACATTTTATTCTTTACAAACTAGCCCTATAACAAAAAAGTACCTTTGAGCTGAGATTAAGAAATAAGAGTTAAAAAGTTCGGAGCCTCAGACTCATTTCCTTCAAATGGACTACAGACCATCAACTATCGCAAGAACTCCAAAGGTTGGAATTTGGATGCTAGCTTTAACCTCTAGAGATCGCTTCCTCAGTGGACAAAAAATATAAATCTCTAACCTTTTTCCCTTTTTAATGACCCTATATCATGCCAGACCTAAGAAGCTTGAGTCAACTAAAAATCTTCAAAATTTCAACAAAAATGACAGCATAGAAGGAAGTTAATGAAAGCAAAGTAACCCTTCTAAAACGCAATCTTATTCTATTAATGGTTCCAAATATATCTCTTTTCTTGAAATTCATCAAAATTTGTCCACTTTCTCCATTCACATACTTGAACAAATCCCCCCACATAACTCAAGCAGTGTTTCAGGACACCTAATCAATTTTACATCAACCGACACCCAATACATCATTGTCTCTGAGGAAACCCAAAGAAATCAAGAAGTTACTAACTAAACTCAAAGAAAAACTATAATCATCTTTGGGGATTTTAAGGTTCTCAATGTGACCATGTTTATTAGCATATCCACACTCATCCCCAAAATTCATTGAAATTTACCTCATATGCAGATTCAATCTCCCTAAAAGCTTTATCCTTTTCAGGAAAATCGTCCCCTTTGAACACACCTGGATGATACTGCAAATCCCAAAACTAAAAATATTATGTCAAAAATCATTTTTTAAAATATTTAAGAAACCGATACATAAAAGGAAAACGAGGAGAGACCTTCAATGCGAGACGCTCGTTTAACACCAGATTTGGAAGCAAGCGGAGTGAGACCGAGCATGGCGTATTGGGCGCTAAGGTCAGCGGAACATCTGGCCGGAATTCTGAGGCAACGCCGTCGGGAGCGCGGCTCTTGGGTCCATATCCATCTGAACCTGAATCCAGCGCTACTATTTTCGGTCATTGTGGTTGTTGATAGTCTGCGTTGCGTAGGGTTCATTTGAGATTAGGTGGCGTTGGATCCTTCTCTGTGTCACAACATAGTTCAATCCAACTTCAAACTTCACAAACCTCCGGTGGTTGGGATGGGGCGGTTAAAATGTCAAAATAGAGCGAAAGTTTGGGAAATTACCAAACAAATTTTGGGGATTAAACGTAATTTTGAAAAGTGCAGGGTGCATTTGGAGGGTATATCTTAAATATTACTGAAATATCCGAATTTCCAACTTGAATTTTTAGATTTCAGTTTGGTTATTTGAGTTTAATTTAATAAATTATCTATTAATTATTATCTTTTTTATTTTAATCTAAAATTTTTATTTTTTTTAAATTCATTTATTAATTTTTAAAATTATTTAATTTTCATTTATCTCATACAAACTCCATTAATTTTATTGACAAAACTTCAAGTTTTTAATTATGTATCATCATGTAAACCATCATATGACACCATGTAAAGCCATCCTATGGTGCCAGAAAAACTAATATGTAGTCTAAAAAAAGGAGGGAAAATTCTAGTTTCTTTATTTAGGATAAATGCTTAATATAAAAAAAAGGAAGTAATCGAACACTTGTGTAAACCCGGGACCACACACTTGGCATCCACCCTATGAGCATTTAGCAAATGTTACCATGATTCCACTGCCAATACCAAACCAACTTCTCCCTTTAGCAAGAGCCGCAAGTTGGTACAAATGGTCGACATTATCTAGTATGATCAGAACATTTTTGTACTTCAATTGACCTCTAATCTTATCAATTCCATCATCAATATCACGTAGGTGCAAGTCTCAGACCCCTAAGATATCATATAGAAGTCTCTTTTGCGACTCAACCAGTTTACTGCATCTTGATCCTGACTGGATGTCTTCAAGCATTAGCAAGCTATTAGCATCAAATTCTGGAAAGATTCTATTCCTAATTACCTTGGCAACTGTTGTCTTTCTTATTCCAGGCATTCCATAGATTCCTATGAAACGAATGTCTTTGGAGCCAAGCCTAAAGAATAACATTATATTCTTTACTGGAGACACAATTCTAAAGAGATGGTTCACATCCCCAAGGTAAGTGGGATGCAATTTTTCCCAAACATCTGCAACAATTTTCTTGATCAACTCAGACTCATCCCTGGTTGATGTGAAAAGGATTAAACATTAGAGTTGGAATCCAACTTAAGTCCACTTTAAGGATGTTATGCTACGTCTACCAAATCAGTAAGTAATTGTAGGCATGAGAATAGGTATTTTTAGTCCAGGTCTGGGTTCTTCGAGAGCACAGTCTGGGTTCTCGGAGAGAACCCGAGAGAAAAAAAAAAAAAAAGAAGAAGAAGGTGGGAACACGGTGAGAATGAAATGGAGACTAACGGAGTGTGAGAGCTAACGGGAAAAAGAGTGTGTAATGAGAGTGTGGTACGGATGAGTGTATGCTAATCATGGTCTTTTTCAAAATCATGGGACTGTTAGATTCCTCCGAATCTATAACTAGACTTAAAGAATAACAGAAATGAAAAGTATAAATTAGTATCTTGAACAAAAGGAAAAACCTCTCTCTCTCTCTATATATATAAGTTGTAAATAAAGACGTCAATTTTATTTTTTATTATATTTAAGGGTGTTAAATTTATCAATTTTTAAATAAAGATATCAATTTTTAATTTTTTTTATTTAAGGATGTTAACTTTTAATTTTTTAAGAATATTAACTTTTAACATTTCAGTTAAAAAATTTATTTATCATATTAGTATCACTATCTAGTTAATTCTTAAATTGAAAAAAAAATTAAAAATTAGTATTCTTAAATTTAAAAAAAAGGTTAAAAATTGACATTCTTAGATAGGAAAAAGTTAAAAGTTGATATTTTTATTTAAAACCTAGTAAAATTGGGTGTAAATACTAGTGAAGTTAACATCTTTAAATAGAAACAGGTACAAAGTTGACATTCTCACTTGCACATTTTTTCTCTTTCTATATATATACATATACACACACATATACATATATATGACAATAGTGTTGATATGTTGTCCTTCTAATTAATATTTTCAAAAGCATATTGTTAAATTGAAAATTTTATTCATGTAAATTACACTTCTTGATTTTTATATTGATCTAACACTTATAACTATTTAATAAAAAAAACTCCATTGACTTATATATATATATATATATTTAATAGTGTTAAATTTTTCATAGTC